GCCACATAATATTCAGCCCATTCAGAGGAGACTTTGATCTTTATTTGCTTTTATGTTAATATGGTTTTTTAATTAACTTTTATATAGTATGATAACTGTATGTTAATACACACATACATATGCACATGCTTTGGGTCCTTCCATAATACTTTTATATTTGTAAATCAATGTTTTGGAGCAATCCCAAGTTTAAGGGAAATATTTTTGTAAATGTAGTGGTTTTGAAAATCTGAGCAATCCTTTTGCTTACACATTTTTAAAGCATTTGTGCTTTAAAATTGTTATGCTGGTATTGAAACAAGATACTCCTATAGTGCAGATGAGAAGCATGTAAGAGTGGAGTAAGGATGTGGTTTCTCTTACTGTCATCCAACTCGACATGATGGATCAGCAACAACTGGGAATCCAGAGTGAATTCTGAGTGAATTCTCTAGGGTTATACCAGGTTTAGCTTAAGCTTGTTGCCTTTTTGTGCTGTTTATCCGTGTAGAGCACTCCAGAAAGTTCTGAAACTGCTTTGTATCTGCTTTGTACTGTTGGTGCCTTCTTGGTATTGTACCCCAAAACTCTGCATAGATTATTTAGTATAATGGTAAGTTTAAAAAAATGTTAAAGAAAGATTTTATTAAGAATCTGAATGTTTATTCATTATATTGCTACAACTTAACATTTATTTGTGGTATTTGTGATTTGGTTAATCTGTATAAAAATTGTAAGTAGAAAGGTTTATATTTCATCTTAATTCTTTTGATGTTGTAAACGTACTTTTTAAAAGATGGATTATTTGAATGTTTATGGCACCTGACTTGTAAAAAAAAAAATCTACAAAAAAAAATCCTTAGAATCATTAAATTGTGTCCCTGTGTTACCAAAATAACAGTACTGTGCATGTATAGTTTAATTGCAGTTTTACATGTGAAAGTATGAAATCGTCTAGGCCTTAATTACAGCAAGTAAGCCGGCCTTCCTCCTTTGACCTTTGCTTATGTCAATTAGTGATAGGATCATAAGCTGGTTCTCTAGAGTCAAAAAGGGGTTTTAATTTTAGTCCTCTACATTTCCTTAGGTATAAATGGGGGAGAGGAAGGTGTTCCCCACGTCCTCTCTTTGTATGCCTCCCACCCTTATCTTCAGCAGTCCTAGTATGGGGGCAGCTCTTTTTTCAGACCAAGAAGTTATAACTGTATTAGTGAGTCTTAGACATTTTGATTCATGTCAGTATTGAGCATTATGCAGTGACTTATTCACAAGACAGAAATTTTTAGTTGTTGTTTATTTGGTACTGGTGATTGAACCCAGATTGCCACTGAACTACATCCCCCTCCCTTTTTCATTTTGAGACAGGGTCTTGTTAAGTTACTGAAGGTGGCCTGGAACTTGTGAACCTCCTGCATCAGCCTCCCAAATTGCTGGGATTATAGGCATGTGCCCTGGTGGGAAATGTTTTTGATGTAGTATTGTAGGAAAAAACACAGGCCCCTAAACCAGGTTCTCAGCCTGACCCTCTGCTTTGGGTTGCTCATTCCTACTTGTTTGTGCTTCAGTCTCTCCATGGCAGACCATCAGCTATGAAGCAGAACCAAAATTGCCTTGTATGTGGTAAAGATTATAAAAATATATTTCAAGTGATTTACCTCAAAGCAAGAATTCAGTAAACAGCAAGTCTTCTTAAGTGCTTTTTTTTTTAATTTCATTAAATGTTAGAGCATTAAAATGTCTACTTACTAAAGAAACTGCTTTCTGTAGATCTGAGAAAGGAAAACCTATCCAAAAACTTTCTTCAGGGAAATATAGCCTAAACTGGAAGTTTTCAAGGGGACATTTGAAACACTTGAGGGTACATAACATTCACTTTCTCCTTGATGGGTTAACACTTTGTTGTTGTCCAAATCCAATAGAAAGTAGTCACAGTCTGTTCACAGAAAGCTGATAATCACAGTTTTCCCCACTTTACCGATAATGAGCTCCTTCCTTAGTAATGGCATACCAATTCTGGTTGGCAGTAGACCAGCATCTGGACTGTCTGCTGTATTTAATCAAAACCAAGTGTTTAGAGCTGGGCAGAGGTCACTTCAGGTCATCTGAGAGAGGAGAGAATAAAGCCAAGCAACGGGTCACAGAGAGGTGGAAGCAAGGAGGGAATCACACCTCTGAGGCCCCAGGGTGAGGGTATCCAAAAGGGAGCAGTGAAGGAATGAGTTTTTATGAGGGGACAGTGGTACCTCTGAGTGAGTCTAAGAGGAAGGCACTATCAGGGAAGAGGAGATGGAGGATTGGGGCTGGGCTTGCCAAGGGGAAGAAGGAGGTGGAGATGGACACAGCCTCACTCTTTGAGTCTGGCCAAGGATGGCTAAAGACATTCATTTCATAGGTAAAAAGGAAGAAACAGGTCATGCCCCATAACATGTCTTTTTGGGTGAAGTGTGTGAGGATGAGGAAGATCCTCCTAAGAAGTGGAAATGAGAACTGCCCACCACTGAGAGAGGCCTCAGTGATGCAATAGGACATTGTTCATATATATCATTAGCTGGGCGGGGCAAAGGGAAGGACCAAGGAGATGAGATGGAGTGGTAAGACTGAGGCCATAGGACTAGGGGGAAGGAGCTGCAGTAGATGGGTAGAGATCACATGGTGAACACCCGCTGCATACACGAAGCAGACATGATGGGGAGACTGAACAGATACCTGCCTCGTTTTCAGGTTTGTTTATTATTTAAATGAAGAAACAAACCTGAACTGTATATGGGGAGCAGAAATTTGTTGTGGTAGGGCTGTGAGATCAGTGCATTGGATGTGTCACCTTTGTGGATAGTGATATTAAGATGGTAGGTAGGAGGGCTGGGGATGTGTGCATAAGGCCCTGGGTTTAATCCCCAGCACCAATTTGAAAAGATGGATAGCCAGGAGAAAGAGACCCTGTTCGATTTCAGTTGCGAGTCATTGAGTGGAAGAAACCATGGGTCTCGCCTCAGTTTACTAATATGCTTTCAGATCAATTCAGCGTACACTTACTGAGTTCCTGCCATAGACCTGCAGAGCCAATGGCTCGGCTGCATCAAGGATTTCCTCCATCTTCACAGAATCCCTGGAGTTGTAAGTTTGAGAAAGAGGGGAGAGCTTTTCATCTATATAAAGGGCAAAAAGACCTATGTCCAGTATCTTTGTGATATTTCTATGGTGATACATAGAGTGTGAGTTTAAAAGCTTGATGATAACAGGAACGTGGAAAGTAATTTATCTAAAAACAACTTTCCCATTCTGAGAAGATAAGACACTCAGTGGCCATCAAGTTTCTCATGGGCTTTGAGAACCATTATAGTGGTGCAGACAAACATGGAAAATAGGCAAGATCTTTTTTGCTTGAAATGAAAAACATCTTTAATCCCTGATGCTTGGGGAAATTCTTCCTTCATTCTGTTTCTTAATTTCGTCTTCCAAAAGACAATAGTTTAAGGGAATTCTTTGTATAAGATATTCACCCTCAGGTGATTGGACACAGTTGGGAACTACAGCCTGTGATGTGCTGGTCTGGGTCCCGAGGATAGGAAGCCCAGCAGTTTCAGCTCAAGGATTTAGAACAATAATGCTCTAAACACAAACTTGGGGAAAAAAGAGTCAAAATATTAGGTAAGGGCCAGGCACAGTGGCACACACCAGCAGTCAGTTCCTGAGGATAAGGCAAAGCAATGGCTTGAGCCCAAGAAGTCAGGACCTTCTCAATTAAAATATTAGATAAGAGAAGCACCTGATTGGGAATTAGGAAGAATTACTCTTTATTTGTTCTAACTGCTTATATGGGACAGCAGCATGCATTTTGATTCAATGTACACAAATGGAGCACAACTTTTCATTTCTCTGGTTGTACATGATGTGGTCACATCATTTGTGTAATCATACATGTACTTAGGGTAATGATGTCTGTCTCATTCCACCATCTTTCCTACCTCCTTACCCACTCCCCTCCCCTCACTACCCTCTACCCAGTCCAAAATTTCTCCGTCAGGAAGGATTACTCTTGAATGGCCAGAAGGAGCAGGGGAGCCAATACCTGTCTTGTATAGTAAGACCAGAAGGTAACACAAACCAGTTGTCAGTTGCATAAATGGTAGGAGGAAGCTGCCTATTGGGCCAAGGAGGGCACATCTGTGTGGTGGGAAATCTGGCAATAGAAGCCAAGCATATGAAAGAGCAAGAGGGGGTGGAAGTTGTGCAACCTGGGACACTTGAACCAGGGCCATAGCTCTCAAGCCCAGTACAAGGCACTGGAGGAAGGTATGTTGCAGATTGGCAATATAGGCACACAGGCTATCCACACATAGATGATCCTTGTTCTAGTTGTTTTTCCATTTTTGTTGGTTTTAGAGTGCTGGGAATTGAACCCAGAACCTTGTTAGGCAAGCCATGCTACCACGGAGCTACATCCTCAGCCCTCTTTAGGGTCACTCTGAGGCCAATTTAGAAGAGGCAGGCAGGGAGTCAATGGCCACATTACCAGCCCATAAATCTACATTCCCCTAAGCCCAGAGATTTGTTTTATTCTCTGTCCAAAAGTGCCATTACTTCCTTTTAAAATTATAAAGTATTCCCACTTCATGGGGAGCTGGCTAAACTTTAATAAGCTAGGAAATGTGGGTTTTTTGAGATGGAACCAACCATAATCCAAGACCGCAGCAAGAGACATACACCAGAGACATGAGAACAGCTCCAAGAGCCAGTGGGCTGGGACTGTAGCTTGGTAATATGTCATGCTCAGGTTTTTGCATTTTTGAATACTTATCACAATTGCCCTTCCCTGAAATGAAATCTAAAAACTACCTGCATCCCTTACCTATCTGCCATCCACCAAATAGCATAATATTCTTCCAGAACATTTTATTTATGAATCAGATGATGAGAGAAACCAGAGAGAAGAACAAATGTGTCACAAAAGAACAAGCAATCAAAGAAACAGCAAGGCCACAATGGTTGTCGGCACCTCCACTACAGATTGAGATGGGCACATGTCACCTGCCCATCTCATGGTCCATGCAGGAGAGCCTGTCATGTTGGGTAAGGTCATCCTCCTGGTTTAAAAGGACAGGAAGAATTGTTAAGACCAGTGGAGAAACCATATAAATAAACAAGGAGGGGAAGGCAGCAGTATTGCAGTAGTTAGGCATTCAATTTTAGTTAACAACTATAAAGAGGGAAAAATCGGCCAGGAATGGTGGCACATATCTATAATCCCAGCAGTTTGGGAGGCTGAGGCAGGAGGATTGCGAGTTCAAAACCAGCCTTAGCAATTTAGCGAGGCCCTAAGCAATTCAGTGAGACCCTGTCTCTAAATAAAATACAAAATAAGGCTGGGGGGCTGGGGCTGTAGCTAGTGGCAGAGTGCTTGCCTAGCATGTGTGAGACACTGGGTTCAATTCTCAGCACCACATATAAATAAATAAAATACAGGTCCACTGACAACTAAAAATAATAATAATAATAAAAATAAAGGGCTGGGGAGGCCTTTTAACGTATTCCAAGGGCCGGACTGTGGGTCTCTGCGGCGGTGGCATGAGAGCAGAGTCAGAGCTGCAGTGGCATGAGTCACGGCCAGACAAGCACTTAGAAAGTTTCTTCCAATTTTTGGCCGAGTATTGGTCGAAAGGAGTGCATGTGAAACTGTAACCAAAGGAGGCATTATGCTTCCAGAAAAATCTCAAGGAAAAGTATTGCAAGCGACAGTAGTAGCTGTGGGATCAGGCTCTAAAGGAAAGGGTGGGGAGATTCTGCCAGTTAGTGTGAAAGTTGGAGATAAAGTTCTCCCAGAGAATGGAGGCACCAAAGTAGTTCTAGATGACAAGGATTATTTCTTATTTAGAGATGGTGACATTCTTGGAAAGTATGCAGACTGAAACAAATCGCTGTTGAAATGGCGTCCTATGAAGCTGCTCATTCCACTGAAGTGCTGAAACCTTTCATCATGTAAATAATTTCCTCGTCTCTTATAATAAACTGATGATAATCTAATAACATCCACTGTCTCAAAAAATTAGTTTCCCTGTACTTATGTAAACATTTCCAAATAAAATATGTAATGATTTAAAAAAAAAAAAAAAAAAGGGCTGGGGATATGGCTCAGTGGTTAAGTGCCCCTGGGTTCAATCCCTGGTACCCCCCCCAAAAAAAAAATTGAAAACATTACAATGCCATAGGGGCTTCAAAGAAAATATCTACAAGGATGAACTAAAGGTACCAACTTCGACAGTATTAGAAAATGTAATCACTGCTAGATTGAAAATAAAAATCTAAATCAGCAAGGGCAGCTGCCTCTTGTCTGTGTCAGTTGATTGGGAAGGAAATGTGGGACCAAAGCAGATTTTAAAAGGAGAAAGTGTGGTAGGAAGGCATTAGGGGAATTAACACCAGGGATCAATGTTATCAAATTCCACCCCTGGGAGCAGAGTCTGGGAGCACAGCATTTAAAGGGCTTCTCCAAAGGGAGAAGCATGGGGCAAGGAGAAGTTACAGGGGCCTCGCTGTTAAATTCTCCGGGAAGAGCCCACTGCTGCCAGTCACATGCAGACCACACAAAGAACATTTTAATGAAATTCAGAAGGGGAGAAAAAGGCCAATGAGGTCATTGACTGAAGAGTAAATAAAATGCCTCAGCTCTGACTTGTTTCTCTGTTCTCTGACCAATGATGTAGGCTGGGGACACTAGAAGCCAGCAGTCAGTGCACTTCAACACAACCATCCCTCCCTGGACCCTGGAAGGCAGGGGCCCAGGACAAGCCCCACCTTGATTCTCTCTGGCATCCCTCTAAAGGGAAGGGAGATCCTCAAGCACACAGGAACCTTGAGGCCACATGGAACTGGCTTGGACACACCCTCTGGCCACCCTTTGTTGCTTACCTCGCTGACATTGACATGCTAACCCAGGTTTGCATGCCTGTGCAAGCACCTGCTATTTTCATTTAAGAACAGGCTGTCATCATAGAATGCCCCATCTGAGATGAAAGCAAAATATCTCTGCTGGCAAAGGAGCTCCAAAAGGAAAGCAGATACACCCCTGAGATACCACCGCAGGGCATCTCAGGGACAGCCGGGGTTTGGGTAGCATCCCTGTGAGGCTTCCTTGCTGCTGAACTATGATGAGACCCGGTCTTTGTACAAATGCCAGGGACTAGCTTGATTTTAAAAGGAGAAAGATCTCTACTAGGATGCTCAGAAAGCCTGGGGTCCAAGAGAGATGTTCCGCTCTTGACCCTGCTGCTCAGTGGTTCGCTGATTTCAGGCAGGACCCTCCCTGCCTTGGGCCTCTGCCTGATGACAGGCCCTGCCTCTTAGTGGCTTGCTAGTTCACTCCTTTCCTTCTTGTGTGTCTTGTTTGCTTTGAGTTTTCTTTTTCCTTGGAGAGAGCAGGGGTATGTTTCTGTTTCTGGAGGCCCTGTCAGGCCCCTGAAAGAGCCCCACTGCTCTGGTCTTCAGTGCCAATGAACAGCACAGCAGCAGCCTCCATTCAACATCCTATCTCCGTCCTACCTCAAGCAGCAACCACACACAACAGAAATCAGATGGTGTGATCTCCCAAGTGGAATGTCTCCTGCAAAAGGCCCTGAGTCTACATAGTGTTAACTGCTGCTGCTGCTACCACCTATGGACCCCAGACCTTTCCAGGCTTGCCCCTCTGCACCTCAGCCCAAGGACCCTTTGCCAGGACTTCTTGGCCAGGGTGAATTCACAGCATGAGCCTACCAGACCTAACTCCAGTGTTGAAACAAACCAGACATTGGAGGAAAAGCTCAGGACCACAACCCCTCAGGCTGGAGCAGGAAGGCAAAGCTTTACCCAGGATGGAGGCCAAGACCTCCCCAGCTCTGCCATGGCAGCCCTGCCTCTGAGATTGGCCAGTTGAAGGGTGTCCCTGTGATCCAGGATTCAGGTAGTGTTCCTTGTATACCAGGGAATTTCTAAGATGCAGCATTCTCTTGACAGGTACAAGAGGGTTTTTTGTTGTTTTGGTGTTTTAGCTTGTTTGGGTATTTTTTGTCGTTTTGGTGCTGGGGATGGAACCCAGGGCCTCATGTATGCTAGGCAAGCAGTCTACCACTGAGCCACATCCTAGCCCAAGCAAGAGGTTTTTTAATACTTTATAATTACTCTGATAAGCAGGGGAGGGGAATCATTAGAACTAGAAAGCATTTCATGCAGGCATACCAGATGGCAAGCATGGAGCCTGCATAGAGACTCTGAGAATTCCAGAACATTGCCATCCACAAAAAAATCTTTCATTTTACCTCTTTCATTGATGCATCGATTTGTTTACTTAGCATAACAAGCAGACCTCAGGCTGCCTATTCAACTAAGGAGGTCCCCAGCATACCTTTGATGTATTTAAAATCTTTTGACTTTTCAGTGGTGCAAAAGTGATGCGCATTCAATAGAAACCATACTTTGAATTGTGAGTTTTGATGTTTTCTCTGGAAAACATGCAATATGATCCTCTCACAATGATGCTGAACAGCAGTAGCAGCTGTTTTGAGATCACAAAAGGAAACAACCAACACTCCAGTGTGCTGTGTTGTAAGCTAGGATGTTCGTAGGTTAAATGGATTAAATACAATTTTGAAGTCAGGCATTGTGGCAGCATGCCTGTAATCCCAAAGATGCAGGAGGCTGAGGCAGAAGGACTGCAAGTTCAAAGCTAGCCTGGGCAACTTAGCAACTCTGTCTCAAAATTAAAGAATAAAGAGGGCCCAGAATATAGCTCAGAAGTAAAGCACCTCTGGGTTCATTCCTCAGTACTTAAAAATAATAATAATGATATACTTTTTGATGCTTTCAATTTATGAAGGGTTTATCAGGATAAACCCATTATGAGTGGAGGAACTCCTGATTTCTTCTGCTTTTCAGGCTCTAACATTTGTCTTGAGAGCAGTTAATACTCCTTTGTCAAAATCCTCTGATATCAGGGATCCCTATATATCTCATTCACTGTGGTTATCAAACCTCATTTTAGACACCTCTTGATTCCTGTGAATGTTCTTTTCTTCAGAAAATCTGGCCAATTTTCCCTTCTTGTACATATCTTACTTTTTTTTTTAGTCAGTTTTAGACTTTTTGAATCATTGAGCAGATAATATGTAAAGCTCCACATATCTACCCCACTCTCACCCCAATCCTCTGCATACCTGGTTTTCCCTCCCCAACTCCTGGCAATCACAAGTTGTTTACTATTGCCATTACCTTTTCTTTAAAAAAAAAAAGTGTTTTGTGTATGGAAACAAATGCAAAAAAAAAGCAGACTTGCTTTTTTCACTTAGTAATATGCACTCAAGATTTCTCCATGTCTGCTCATGGCTAGATAACTAATTTGTTCATATCACTGAATAATATTCCATCATATGGATGTTCCACAGTTTGTTTACCCGTTCACCTAGTGAAGGACATCTGAGTTGCTTTCAGTTTTGGAAATTGTGAATAAAGCTGCTATAAAGCCAGGTGCAGTGGCACACACCTATAATTCCAGAGACTCAGGAGGCTAAAGCAAGTTTGAGGCAGCCTCGGCAACTTAGCAAGCCTCTGTCTCCAAATTAAAAAAAAAAAAAAAAGGACTAGGGATGTATCTCTGTGGTAAAGCATCCTTGGGTTCAATCTGCAGAAGCAAAAATAAAATAAACCTGCTTTAAATACTGGCAGATTTTGCAGATTTGGGTATACACATGTTTTCAACTTATTCAGGAGTTCACCTAGAAACATGATTGTACCAGGTCCAGATTTTTTTTTAAATTACTTTTGTAGTATATTTTATTTTTTTAAAGAGAGATTGAGAGAGAGAGTTTTAATATTTATTTTTTAGTTTTTGGCAGACACAACATCTTTGTTTGTATGTGGTGCTGAGGATCGAACCCGGGCCGCACGCATGCCAGGCGAGCGCGCTACCGCTTGAGCCACATCCCCAGCCCCAGATTTTTTTTTAATTCAGATCTTTAGTAGCAGTCTTTAGTATACTCACTCTAGATTTTAAAAGGAATAATTTGTTAGAGCATACATAAAATGTAACAGTGAATAAAAATCATAACTTACAAAATATATTGGTTAACATTCCAAATGTGTAACCAGTGAACATGGCCTTGGTTTTTCTTTTTATTGGTATTCACTTCAGTAACTTAAATCCAAAGCTATAAGCAGTAAATAACTTTTCCATGCAAATTTCTGTTCACAAAGGTCACATGTGCAGGAACATGAATTAGAAGCACACATCTATGAGCTGTGGTTGTGGCTCACTTGTCTAGCATGTGTGAGGTACTGGGTTCAATTCTCAGCACCACATATAAATAAAATAAAGGTTCATCAAAAACTAAAAAAAAATTTAAAAAAGAAGCATGTATTGTGTATAAATGCCACATTTTTTTATCCATTCATCTATTGAAGGGCATCTAGGTTGGTTCCACAGTCTAGCTATTGTGAATTGTGCTGCTATGAACATTGATGTAGCTATGTCCCTGTAGTATGCTTTTTGTAGATCTTTTGGGTATAGTACGAGAAGGGGAATAGCTGGGTCAAATGGTGGTTCCATTCCCAGCTTTCGAAGGAATCTCCATACTGCTTTCCAAATTGGCTGCACCAATTTGCATTTCCACCAGCAATGTACAAGTGTACCTTTTCCCCCACATCCTCACCAGCACTTGTTATTGTTTGACTTCATAATGGCTGCCATTCTTACTGGAGTGAGATGGTTTTAATTTGCATTTCTCTGATCGCTAGAGATAGTAAGCATTTTTTCGTGTAATTGTTGATTGATTGTATATCCTCCTCTGAGAAGTGTCTGTTCAGATCCTTGGCGCATTTGTTGATTGGGTTATTTGTTTTTTTGTTGTTTAACTTTTTGAGTTCTTTGTATATTCTGGAGATTAGAGCTCTATCTGAAGTGTGAGGGGTAAAAATAAAAGTGTGAGGGGTAAAAAACCTAGATTCCTTCAATAGATGAATGGATAAAAAAAAGTGGCATTTATACACAATGGAGTATTACTCAGCACTAAAAAAATAACAAGATCATGGCATTTGCAGGGAAATGGATGGCATTAGAGCAGATTATGCTAAGTGAAGTTAGCCAATCTCTAAAAAACAAATGCCGAATGTCTTCTCTGATATAAGGGGGGTGACTCAAAATGGGGTAGGGAGGAAGAGCATGAGAAGAAGCTTACCACTAAACAGGGAAGAGAGGTGGGAGGGAATGGGAGGGAGAAGGGGAATTGCACGGAAGAAGGAAGGAGATCCTCATCATTATACAAAATACATATATGATGGTGTGAGGGGGAAGGGGAAAAAAAGAGAGAGAGAAAAGTGTCACAGTAGATTGGGTAGAGAGAGAGGTGATGGGAGGGGAGGGGAGGGGAGGGGAGGGGAGGATAGGGAGGGCAGCAGAATACAACTGACACTAGGATTGCTGTATGTATACACATGGATATATAATCAATGTGATCCTGCAATCTGTACACGTGGAAAAATGAGAATTCATACCCCATTTGAATCAAATGTATGATATGTCAAGATCATTGTATTGTCTTGAGCAATTAAAAAGAAAAGAAACAGAATGCAAGCCTTACAGGTAGTTTTAAAATATTTTAGCAATCACATTTCAAAATAAAAAACAGGTCAAACTAAAAAAAAGAAGAAGGAGAAGAAGGAGAAGGAGAAGGAGAAGGAGAAGAAGAAGAGTGCATATAGAATGATGGCCGAATTTTTTAAAATGCAGAAAGGTAAAAATTACAACTTGAAAATATGAAGAGATGGTTTCTAAGCCCAGATATTTTGAGAAAGAAATATCAATTCCTTATTATCCCTTCCAGAAAGCAGAAGCAGAGGAATGCACATAACTCATTTGGTGAGGCCAGCATTATTGCCCTCATACAAAAACCAGATAAAGACATTGCAAGGAAGAAAAACTACAGACTGTCTCTAACGAGCATAGATGCAAAAATGCTCAACAAAATATAAGGTTGATAAAGAAAAATCATATGATTGTAACAATGCATGCAGAAAAAGTATTTGACAAAAATCTGACACCCATTCATGATATAAGCTCTCAGCAGACTAGGATAGAAAAGAATTTCTCAACTTTATAAAAAGCATCTAGGGGCTGAGGTTGTGGCTCAGTGGTAGAGCGCTTGCCTAGCATGCATGAGCACTAGGTTCGATCCTCAGCACCACATAAAAAAATAAATAAAGTTTTTTTAAAAAAAGCAACTATAAAAATCCTACAACTAGGGGCTGAGATTGTGGCTCAGTGGTAGAGCACTTGCCTTGCAAGTGTGAGGCACTGGGTTTAATTCTCAGCACCACATATAAATAAATGAATAAAATAAAGGTCCGTCAACAACTAAAAAAATTTTTTTTAAATCCTGCACCTAATGTCATATTAATGGTGAAAAGCTAGATGCTTTCCCCCTAAGACTGAATATCCCCTCTTGCCATGCCTATTAAAAACATAGTATTGAGAGAAAAATCACCAATCTAGTTTATATCTGGTGAGATTAACCTTCAAAAATTGATAAGAAGGGTTGGGGATGTAGCTCAGTGGCAAAGTGCTTGCCTAGCACAGCAAAATGGAGGAGAAATACTTTTTTAGAAAATCTAAAACTGGAGGAATTTGTCGCCAATAGACCTGTGGTGTAAGAAATATTAAATTTTTTTTTCAGAAAGAAAATTTTGTGGATCAGAAGCTCAGATCTTCATAAGCAATATAAATATTCTATTCCTCTGTCTTCTTACATGGTTTCTAATAAGTCCAGTATATTAGATGGACATAATACCTTTATTATATTTGTTTATTTTTATATAGTGCTAAGGATCAAACCCAGTGCCTCACACGTGCCAGGCAAGTGCTCTCTACCACTGAGCTACAACCCCAGGTCCCAATGTATTTCTTATCCTCTGTAGATATATTAGTCTCATTTTTCATTGCTATAATAAAATGCCTAAGGCATTTATAAGGAAAATAAGTTTATTTAGCTTCCACTTCTGGGCATAGCATGGGCATTAGCACTCTGGTAAGGAATTCATGACAATGCATCATCATAATGGCAGCAGTGAGCAGGGTAGAAGAGATCACATCTCAAGACAGGAAGCCAGAGTGAAAGGGATAGACCATCTTGTGACCTCCCACTAGGTACCACCACCTCTCAACATAGCCACCCTAGGGACCAGCCTCCTCACCTAATAACTCCTGAGGGACACACTCAAAACATATTCAAACCACCACAGTAGGTAAGATGTTTTTCCCACTCTGGCTTCTATCAAGATTTTCTTTATCTTTGCTTTCTCCAATTTGAATATGATATGCTTAAGTGTAAACGTTTTTCAATATTTTTTCCTGCTCAGTGTTTTCTAAGATTTCTGGATTTGAGCCAGGCATGGTGGCTCACACCTGTAATTCCAGCAACTTGGGAAGGTGAGACAGGAGGATCATAAGTTCAAGGCCAGCCTCAGCAACTAAGCAAGATCCCTTCTCAAAATAAAAAGTCAAAGGACTGGCGATGTAGCTCAGTGGTGTGTGGGCAGGGGAGATTACTGGCTTGGTATTTTGGTTTCTGTCCTTAATTTTGGAATATTTTTAGATTGGTTTCCTATGACTCTTTAAGTTCATCCATATTCAGCCTCTGGCAATTCAGCACAGTTATATTTAAATGGTCCTTTCATTCTTCCTACCCATTCTTGGTTCCAGTGACTTCTGTTCAAAGTAACCTGGGATGGTAAATGTCCCACAAAGTTCCATGTGTTAAAGGCTTGGTGCTTTTAGAAGATGGGGTGTAGTGGAAGGAAGTTAGGTC